AAGGTCTACATCAAAAGAACCAACACGGGTCTCCTTCTGCATTTCCAGAGTCATGTTGACATTAAGTACAAGCGCAGCCTAGTTAACACCATGGTGGATCGCGCTTATCGATTATCTTCTAACTGGTCTTTCTTCTCCGAGGAATGTGACCGCCTTAGAGGGGTTTTTCATAACTTGAAATACCCAAAGCCACTGGTTGAAACTACAATCAAGCGGTTCGTTGAGAGAAGGATTTCATCTGCAGAACCCTGTCCATCACCAGACGTACCATCGGAGACTGTGAGATTAGTGTTACCCTTCAAGGACCAGTCGTCAGCTAATCATGTTAAACAACAACTGAACAGTCTAAGCTCGAAGTTAAGCGTGACTGTCCAACCAGTGTTCGTTAGCCCTAAGCTCGATCAACAGCTTAAGCAACACGAAATTAAGCCCCCTATTGTTAACCAACAATGTATCGTTTATGAATTTAAATGTAACCTGTGTGATGCAGGGTATGTGGGCTATACTCGTGGTCACTTACACGAGCGCGTAGAAGGGCACAAAAGGAAATCATCTTCTATCTACAAACACTACCACCTCCAGCACAATAGTGAAATGCCTGAACGCTTGATCGAGCAATTCAACGTCATCACGAAATGTAACGGCAAATTTGATTGCCTTGTTAATGAAATGTTGTATATTCGCATGCGTAAGCCAACACTGAACGTGCAAACGGATTCCATCCGCGCCAAGGTGTTTGTTTAAGCCGTTCAGTCTAATTTATGCTATTCTTGTACCTTTCCTTATTTGCATGTTTTTAAACTAGTCTCTTGATAATGGAGTCACGATGACCCCGAAACGTCGAGTAATAAATCTTTCCTGGTTTTTTCTATTTATTTATATTTTGTGATAACTTTTTGATGATTGCATGACTTACACTGTTGTGTTACACTAAAACCTTGAAATAAACTTTCATCAGTTTGCTCATATTCAAGTCTATACTATATGCGCTCTAAATTTATTTGTCATTGCTCAAATATTCTATCAAATAATATATCAGTCAATTCTCTGCATTCCTCCAAATAAAAAACACATTATGATCGTGACTGTACGCCAGCAGGATCCAATTCTTTAATTATGACTCGTACAGTCTCCTTCTGGACAACAAGACTGTAGTCAATTCTTAATCGCTGGTGCATTTGGTGATAACCAATACTGTTCCTGCATGTACAAATGCAGCGGATTACCGGACAAAAGTTGACCTAGATGACGTTGATGTGATTTTTAGCGAATGCTGCGACTAAACAAGCCCCACAAATTGTTTGGAGGAATGCAGAGAATTGATTGATATAATTATGTAAGAGCAACAGTTGCAAGTACCTTCAACTGCTCTAGAAGCCCGTAACCTTTTCGTGGATCTGGTTTATCTCATCGACAACAGTTAATTCAGTTCTTGTATGATGTTTTTTTCGAAGGGGAATAAACTACACCTGAAAACCTAGCCTCATGTGTCCCTAATGCCACCCACTCTTTGTGTACAAGGCCTTTCTGGAAAAAGAGGACCGACAGTTGTTCTGGTGACATATGAGTCAGAGTTACTGTGTTTACATTTCTGTGCGAAATAGAGGAAACTTAAAAGCCTATGAGCATTGTGTAACTACTCGTGTGCACGGAGTAATTTGACCCTATTCGGCCCGAGCCTTTTTTTAATCTTTACAGACCGGGGAGGAAGCGAATTCCGCCCCCTTCACTTCCGTAACTTCCAGAATATTTGAATAACAATTATCGCGCGATAATTTATTATTTATCGCACGATAATTTCCATTTATCGCGCGATAATCTCCATTCATCGCGCGATAATCTTCATTTATCGCGCGATAATTTTTCATTTATCGCGCGATAATCTATCATTTATCGCACGATAATTTCCATTTATCGCGCGATAATCTTCATTTATCGCGCGATAATCTTCATTTATCGCGCGATAATTTTTCATTTATCGCGCGATAATCTATCATTTATCGCACGATAATTTCCATTTATCGCGCGATAATCTTCATTTATCGCGCGATAATCTTCATTTATCGCGCGATAATTTTTCATTTATCGCGCGATAATCTATCATTTATCGCACGATAATTTCCATTTATCGCGCGATAATCTTCATTTATCGCGCGATAATCTTCATTTATCGCGCGATAATTTTTCATTTATCGCGCGATAATCTATCATTTATCGCGCGATAAAAAAAATGTGTCATGTCCCCTATGGGCCACCGTACAATGCTTCTCTAACTCTAAAAAACCCTACATTGTACTATTCAAGTATTTTATCGTGCTTGGAGCC